CTGGTGGGGAGGGATATCTTACTTAGAACATGGCAAGGAAACCCCACAAAACCTCGGTCCGGATATATATAGCGATGTAACATACGATTCGAACATCAGGTTGGAAAGTTTTTTATATATGATATATAGTGCGACAAATACAATATTCACAATTATATATATATACCAGGATTTCCAAAATGCACGTAGATAGCTGGTGGGATTCTTACTTAGAACACGGAGGAAGGAACCCCCAAAACCTCTATATAGCGATGTACAGACGATTCGAACATCAGGTTTGGAAAGTTTTTATTATATGAATATATAGTGCCGGACAACTACAATATTCAAAATATATTATATATACACAGGATTTTCAAAAATGCACGTAGATAGCTGGTGGGATTCTTACTTAGAACATGGAGGAACCCCCAAAACCTCTGTATATATATATATAGCGATGTACATACGATTCGAACATCAGGTTTGGAAAGTTTTTATTATATGAATATATAGTGCCGGACAACTACAATATTAAAAATATATTATATATACACAGGATTTTCCAAAAATGCACGTAGATAGCTGGGGGGATTCTTACTTAGAACATGAGGAACCCCCAAAACCTCTGGGTTGTCATAATATAGCGATGTACATGTGAACGAATCTAACCCTCCCTTTTTGGACCAGTTTTTTCCTTCTCTGCCTCTATAGTGCCGGACAACTCCCCTCTCAAAATATATTCTATCCCCAGAGATTTTTCCAAAATGCACACGTAGATAGCTGGTGGGATTCTTACTTAGAACCTGGAGGAACCCCCAAAACCTCTGTGTATATATATATAGCGATGTACATACGATTCGAACATCAGGTTTGGAAAGTTTTTATTATATGAATATATAGTGCCGGACAACTACAATATTCAAAATATATTATATATACGCAGGATTTTCCAAAATGCACGTAGATAGCTGGTGGGATTCTTACTTAGAACATGGAGGAACCCCCAAAGCCTCTGTGTATATATATAGCGATGTACATACGATTCGAACATCAGGTTTGGAAAGTTTTTATTATATGAATATATAGTGCCGGACAACTACAATATTCAAAATATATTATATATACACAGGATTTTCCAAAATGCACGTAGATAGCTGGTGTGATTCTTACTTAGAACATGGAGGAACCCCCAAAACCTCTGTGTATATATATATATAGCGATGTACATACGATTCGAACATCAGGTTTGGAAAGTTTTTATTATATGAATATATAGTGCCGGACAACTACAATATTCAAAATATATTATATATACACAGGATTTTCCAAAATGCACGTAGATAGCTGGTGGGATTCTTACTTAGAACCTGGAGGAACCCCCAAAACCTCTGTGTATATATATATAGCGATGTACATACGATTCGAACATCAGGTTTGAAAGTTTTTTTATATGAATAGTGCCGGACAACTACAATATTCAAAATTATTATATATACGCAGGATTTTCCAAAATGCACGTAGATAGCTGGTGGGATTCTTACTTAGAACATGGAGGAACCCCCAAACCTCTATATAGCGATGTACATACGATTCAACATCAGGTTGGAAAGTTTTTATTATGAATATATAGTGCCGGACAACTACAATATTCAAAATAGATTATATATACACAGGATTTTCCAAAATGCACGTAGATAGCTGGTGGGATTCTTACTTAGAACATGGAGGAACCCCCAAAACCTCTGTGTATATATATATAGCGATGTACATACGATTCGAACATCAGGTTTGGAAAGTTTTTATTATATGAATATATAGTGCCGGACAACTACAATATTCAAAATATATTATATATACACAGGATTTTCCAAAATGCACGTAGATAGCTGGTGGGATTCTTACTTAGAACATGGAGGAACCCCCAAAACCTCTGTGTATATATATATAGCGATGTACATACGATTCGAACATCAGGTTTGGAAAGTTTTTATTATATGAATATATAGTGCCGGACAACTACAATATTCAAAATATATTATATATACACAGGATTTTCCAAAATGCACGATGGCTGGTGGGATTCTTACTTAGAACATGGAGGAACCCCCAAAACCTCTGTATATATATATAGCGATGTACATACGATTCGAACATCAGGTTTGGAAAGTTTCTATTATATGAATATATAGTGCCGGACAACTACAATATTCAAAATATATTATATATACACAGGATTTTCCAAAATGCACGTAGATAGCTGGTGGGATTCTTACTTAGAACATGGAGGAACCCCCAAAACCTCTGTGTATATATATATAGCGATGTACATACGATTCGAACATCAGGTTTGGAAAGTTTTTATTATATGAATATATAGTGCCGGACAACTACAATATTCAAAATATATTATATATACACAGGATTTTCCAAAAATGCACGTAGATAGCTGGGGGGGATTCTTACTTAGAACACGGGGGAACCCCCAAAACCTCTACTTAGAACATATATGAACATATATGTTCTAAGTAGTGGTCCAGGATCTCTACTTAGAACACGTTTTGGAATTCCAAAACCAATGTTCTAAGTAGTTGTCCGGCGCTATAAAGGCTTTTTGTGTAAAAGCTGCCCTGTGTAAAAGTTTCAGTGCGCCGTAAACGCTTCTGTGTGTAAAACTTCCTGTGTGTAAACGCGTCTGTGTGTAAAAGTTTCTGCGTGTAAATTTCCTTTGTGTAAGCAGGATTTCTCTGTGTCAAAGCTCCTCTGTGTAAAGACTTCTCTGTGTAAAAGACACTCTGCGTAAAAGCTTCTGTGCGTGGAGGCTTCTGTGTGTAAACGCATCCGTGTGTAAACACTCCTGTGTAAACGCGTCTGTGTGTGAAAGCTTCTGTGCGTAAAAGTTTCTGTGTAACCCCTTTTGTGTAAAAACTTTTGTGCGTAAGAGCTTCTCTGTGTCAAGGCTTTCCCGTGTAAAAGCTTCTGTGTTTAAAAGCTTCCGTGTGTAAAGCTCCTCTATGTGTAAACGTTTCTGTGTAAAAGCTGCTCTGCGCAAAAGAATGTGTAAAAGCGTCTGTGTGTAAAGGCTCCTCTGTGTGTACAAGCTTCCCTGTGTAAAAGCTCCTCTGTGTAAAAACTTCTCTGTGTCAAAGCCTCTGCGTGTACAAGCTTTTCCGTGAGAAAGCTCCTCTGTGAAAAAGCTGCTCTGTGTAAAAGGCTTCTCTGTGCAAAAGCCTCTGTAAGTGCAAGCTTCTCTGTGTCCAGACTACTCTGTAAAAAGACTTCTCTGTGTAAAAGCTTTTGTGTGTAAGACCTTTCCTGTGTAAAAGATTCTGTGTGTAAAGCCCTCCCTGTGTACAAGCTTCCCTGTGTAAAAGATCCGCCGTGTAAAGCTCCTCTGTGTAAAGCACCTCTGTGTAAAAGCTGCTCTGTGTAAAACCCGTGCCAACAGCTCCGCATTTTCAGTGCCGCTCCCTCCCAGCAGAGCTGTTCCCAAGCTATTTCCCCACCTGTCCGTTCACGCTGATGCATATCCTATGCTTGGGTTATCGTTTAGTTTGCTTCGCTGCAAAGGGAGCGAAAATGAAGCATCGACAGACAGAACGCCGAGCAAAATGAAAACTCCTCCAGCAAAGAACTTTTTCCCATGCATGTCCGGCATGTCCCTTTGCCCAGCGTTTAGACACCGTTTGACAAGTCTTTGGCACACTTTTTTCGGGACAATCGCGTTGATGGAATTTGTCCTGAAAAATGCGTGCCAACAGTTCTGCTCCTTTAGTCTCGCTCCCTGCCAACGAAGCTATGCATGTCCCATGGCACAGGGTTTGGAAACTTTGACAGCTCTTGGGCGCACAGTTTTTCGGAACAATCGTATTGATGAAATTTGTCCTCTCCCTGCCAGTGAAGCTATGCATGTCACATCGCCCAACGTTTGCAAACCACTTGAAAAGTCTTGGGCGCACAATTTTCTCGGGACAATCGCATTGATGAAATTTGTCTTGAAAACCCGTGCCAACAGCTCTGCTTCTCAGTATGTCGCTTCTTCCCAACGGAGCTCCCCCCAAGCTATTTCCTACGGTTTCCCGTCCGTCCACCCTCTCGTCGCTTCCGTCTCGCTCCTTCCCAACGGAGCTCTCCCCAAGCTATTTCCCCAAGCTATTTCCCACGGTTTCCCTTCCACCCTGTCGTCATTCCCGTATCGCTCCTTCCCACCGGAGCTCTCCCCATGCTATTTCCCCAAGCTATTTCCCACGGTTTCCCTTCCGTCCACCCTGTCGTCATTCCCGTATCGCTCCTTCCCACCGGAGCTCTCCCCATGCTATTTCCCCAAGCTATTTCCCACGGTTTCCCTTCCGTCCACCCTGTCGTCATTCCCGTGTCGCTCCTTCCCACCAGAGCTCTCCCCAAGCTATTTCCCACGGCGTCCCTTCCGTCCACCCTGTCATCATTCCCGCATCGCTCCTTCCCACCGGAGCTCTTCCCTAGCTATTTCCCACGGTTTCCTTTCCGCCCACCCTGTCATCATTTCCTTATCGTCACTCCCGTATCGCTCCTTCCCACCGGAGCTCTCCCCAAGCTATTTCCCACAATTTCCCTTCCGTCCACCCTGTCGTCATTCCCGTATCGCTCCTTCCCACCGGAGCTGCAGCACCGTGCCAGGCGTGGCTTGGGGAAGATGTTGAACGGCACCTCATTGGGTAATTTCGAGCTGCTGGAGGCGAGGTGTCCTCAGCCGAGGGTGCCACTATGGGTTCATTTTGATTTTTGGTATGATTTAGATGATATGATATAGTAGTATATAATTGCAGCAAAAAATATGAAATATACGTCAAAATATGGAAATATGATGAAATATGTGCAGATGACGGATTTTGTTATTTTATCATTATCAATCATAAGTTACAATTATACCTAATAGATTGTTACAATAAAGGTACGCATTTTGTGTAATATATTGTATGATATACACCCGTTCTTTCGTCAGTAGCGAATTATGTAAGTTGTCGGCATGCGTTGGGAGGTGGAAGATCCAACGAGCCTTGCCGATGGGAAGATAGCCAGATGGCTTGGTGAGTTAATAGCTTGGGGAGCTTCACCAAGTTCTCGTCGGCCATAAATAATTAGCATAATAAAGCTATGGCTATTATATAAATGGAATCTGATCATGAAGATGTTATTCATTTGCTTGCTGTGCTGAATGTTCCTCAGGCCAGTCTTTTTGACGTGTTTTTGATAAATCGAGCAGTGCCGAGGGTGACAAAACTTGTGCAATTCAGCTCAAGAGCATTCTCCAACAAATGCTGGTTTCGAGACTGTTCTAGTGCATACTGTTGGTGAGAGATTGTGAATGATTTCATGAAGTACCCACCGAGCTGATCCAAGCTGCATCTACCCAAGCACCAGCTGCTGAGAACCGTGGGTCGCTGGATTGTACTTCGCTTTCCTCACATGAAACTGCGGGTGGTGTCGGTCAGAGGGACTTCAAGTGTTCAAGATGCGTTTCTCGGACATGAACAAAAATGCGATGGGAGCATGCTTGAGCAGGGAGTTTGATGGATTTTGAAGGTGGGCAATTTTTGCTCCATCTCAGACTGAAAGTCCCCAAGCTTCTCCAGAATTGGGCGCTCAGTCCATGAGTTGGATAGATATACAAACTTGATTGCATTTGTTGGCATACTTTTACAATCTTTTACATGGTTCTTACAGTAGGTGGTAAGGATGGGAAGTAATGGACCTGCAAGGTAACAGATCGCATAGTGTATTTGCAAGACTAAACAAACGTATGCGTTTCGAAGCTCTCATTCTCTTGGCAGAACTTGATGCATGTTTGATTATGACAGGGTCCCTTTTCAATTGGAACTTGGGACTTCTTATGGGGATTCAAGCGCCTGGTAAACCCTTAGTGGTTGGTGATTCATGGTGATCCATGGGGATCCATAAGATTTCATGAGCCCTTTGTGGGTCACCTGCGGAAGCCAGGTATGCGGATCTGAAGCTGTATTCCTCGGTGGCGGCTGCGCGGCAGCATGCGGCAGCACGCACACACCAATGGCTTCAATGGCTGAGTATTGTGCTTCAGAAATCTTAAGAAATCACTCCTTGTTAAGATTGTTAAGCACATGGCAAGTCCGCATGAATCTAATCAGGCTACACATGGCTACACATGGCTACATTATTGATCTGCAAGATTGATTTCACACGATTTCACGATTTCACAGTATTTTCATCCCAAAAGGGGCCATTGAGGTGCTGCAGTTCATGGCCATCCTGACGTCTCTTGGGCCAACAGTTGGTACAAGGGGTATGGCCATGGCATGGATCAACCTGGCACAGTTACCTCAAAGATCGAAACGATTCTTAACGATTCTATTATTATTGTTTTGTCTATTCTTCACTCTTGTCTATGGCTTTCGTGGAACGGTAGACATTTCAAACATCCATCAAATATCTGTGTGTGTGATATTGTGTGATCATGCGTGAAATATGCGTCCAATTCATTTTTCACTACATCCCTTGTTGCCACCGGGTGGAAAGACAAGGCCCGTGCTCTCGTTGATGCCAGTGTCAGTCACCAGAAGGCGAGGGCACAGCTAAGCCGTAAGCAAACTTCCCAAAAAAGTAAAAAACGCATGGAAAAGCATAATTTCATCGAGTGTTTGGCCGTAAGTGGCCGTATACATGCTGGGCGTTTAGTTGCACACTAGACATCGGATGCACTTCGAAGTCAAACAACCCCCTGGGGAGACATCAAATCATCAGAATCAGAGGTATACAAGTAAGAAATTCAGACCTTGACGCCGACATTATTTCCTTTAGTTTCGATTTGCAGGAATAGCGACCAGTCCTACCATGCTTTGGGCACCGTGAGAGGTTGGTTAAAAGCGAGATCGGCAACAGACTCTTTGGAAACAAAGCCATTTGGAAACGCTTGGAGGAATCTGCCGCTAGGTCAGCGTCGATGGGGACCTGGTTTCAGATGTTTCAGGGGTGTGTGGTCCAAGTATTGGTTTAGCTGCACGGTGGTCAAAAAATCATCACTGACACAGCAAAAGGATTTTTACACAGCAAAAATGCCGGGATGTTGCGTGTGTCAGGCATAAGGAAGAAGGAAAGCAGAACGGAGAGATCCTGGTGATGACGGGCCACAGTCTTGGAGGTCTGGTCTGCCGGATGGGAAAGGTCCCGGCAAAGAAGTTTCCTCAAAGTTTGGATGGCTTTGCCCGATGGATGATGTGTTTTTGACTGGCAAGCATTTCCAAGTTATTGTAATTGCATCCCATGTAAAACACACTGTAATATAGCATGCGCATTGGTAGCATTGCGATTGCGGCTCAGGAAAAAGAAGCTTGACCGCTAGCTTAACGGTGTTTATATTTAGGTTTATCAGTCTATTTGGGTTTCCCCGTAGCCCTTGCTGAAACCTGAAAATACAGGTTATCAGCCGTAGTCTCTAAAGCTATGGAAAGGACACCTGGTGAATCCTGGTGACATATCTGGACAAGGTGGTGCCATCGTCCCAGCAACGGGTTCAATGACGCCTGCACACACTGGAGCCCCGTCGGATGTTTCGGCTGGGGCAAACCCCACGCCCATGACTGTAAATGAAGGTTTCTTCAATCAACCAGTTCAGGCGTACTTTCAGTTTGTGCAGAACAATCTTACCTACATAATTCAGGTAACATTGACGCATTCAGACGTGAAGCTGAGGAAAGGCACACACAGATCATGGAACAAAAGGTTCAGCAACTGCACCAAGAGTTTGAGCAAGCCCGCCTTAGTGAGATTGCCCAACATCGCAGAAGCTGAGCGTAGACATGAGCAGATGACAGCAGAATATACAGTGTCCCGAACGGCAGCTGAGCATGAGGTCACAAAACTGAGGAAGGAACTTAGCGATGCAAACACAAAGCTAAAGAATGCTGCAAATGCAGTTGCGCTGGAAGCTGAGCAAAGAGCAAACCAAAAGGTAGCGCACTTAGCAACCCAGTATGAACAAAGGTATTCCGAACTCAGAGGTAGCCTCGAGGCAGACTGTAAACGAATCGTGGATGACACGGTGGAGTATGCAAGAAAAGGTATGGAAGGATTCAAGAAAGAGGAACAAGCTGTAATTCAGGAGATGAGAGAGGAGTGCAGTAGACAGGAATCCCCGGCTGCTGAACTCAACTTTCAACTTCAAGAGCAAGTAGAGGAACTGATGGAGAAACTCAACGAGTACAGCGCCCCTGAGATCAAAATTGATGAAGTCGGCAATGATGACGACGGACTAGGCGGGATAAATCTGGACTTGTACATGACCCCAAAGTCGGTTGGTACGAAGGCTGGGGCAGAACCCAAGCCCAGCTCAGGTATGGACGGCTTAGCCGCAGACGCAAAAGAGAAGTTGAGCAATCTGTTTTCCACTACCCCTGCAGGATCAGCAGCACCTCCGAAGTTACCACCACTACCTGTGCAAAGGCCACCACATAAAGAAGCAAACAGTGAACCAAGTGTGCGTAGTCCTACGGTCGTAGCAAGTGAGCCTGACGAGAGGGGTTCTGAGACAGGCTTAGGTCTTTCAGGTCAACAACTTGTAGATCTCATCACTAGGCTGACTTCAAAGAATTCAGATGGTGAAAAGCCCCGCACAAAAGAGGCAGAGACTATCAAGCTGAACGACATGCCCGCCCCAGAAGCCTATCGTCATTGGCGTAATCATGTCAGGGACGAAGTCAAGTCATGCTCCGACAAGCCCGATGAGGCTTGGATTTGGCTCAATGAAGTCTTTGACAACAAAACCCCAAGGGATCAGTTGGAAGAAAAGCTACAAGACCCAGCTAAGTTCATCACACTTGATACCAAATTGTCGGCAGCGTTAACTCGCTCTGCCAAGGGTGATTTAGCAACAAAGATCCACAATTTCAAAGATGAGAAGTCGAAGAATGGGATCCAGGTCAGAGGTAGGAGAGTCCTTTTGATGTTTGAAGACTACTTCAGGACGTCTGAGGAAGCCGGTAGCCTCTATCGTGTCGAGGACTTGTTAGGAGTCATTTGCACTGGGGAGCCTGTGGAGGGCCTTAGAATGTTTTTAAACCGATGGGATGCCACTATTGCCGGTATGGAAACCCCACCAGATGACTTGGTTCTTAGAGACATCTTGCTTCGACAAATTCGAAAATGTCAGTTGATGAAGTATGACATTGAAGCATTTGACAGAGCTCCCGAAAAGTCAGAGCAGAAGTCCTATGCATTCTTACTCAGAAACGTCCGAGATCTTCTAGACAGAGAAAGACTCCGATCAAATAGGAACCGGATTGCTGAAAAGAACAGGCAGACTGAAAAGCCTCAGCCCGCTGCACCCGCTCAGGGGGGGAAGGATTGCGGAAAAGGAAAAGGAGATCGAGGTCGATCCTGCGGTCGAAGCCAGAGTGCGAAGGGGGACAAGATATGTTACAAGTTTCGGGATGGTAAATGTGAGAAAGGAAAGGACTGTCCCCACAAACATGCCAAGGATACCTCAAGATCTGAGACCCCGAAAAAGAAGGGTAAGGGCAAAGGCAGTGGTAGAAGTGCTTCCCCATCAAGAAAATCAAAGGAAGAGATGGCTAAGATCCCTTGCACGTACTTCCAACAGGGCAAATGTCAGTGTGGTGACAAATGTCTTTACACACATGAAA